AATTTAGACTTGGGTTTTCAATGATGTTTCAAATTGCTCCTCATTTATTTCATTATATTTATTTACCAAGTGTACAGCTAACTCAGAGAACAATTTTTGTACTCATTTTTAGGATTTAGGTAGACGATGCTATATTCCAGATGCTATACTCTAAGTCAGAAATCATTGAAGAGGATTGTCTTTCTAAGATTTTTTTCATAATTTCATAAATTATAATTGTAAAAAAATCGTCCATAACATTCGTTAGTATTTTAGCATGCATGGAAAATCCCTTAAAGGACTAGCTATGAGGAAGAATGCTGGCACTGCTGGTCCATAGCCTATGGCAGGTTCAGATTACCATTGACATAGGGAGCTTGGAAGGTCATGAAATTGTGGTTAATAACTTCTCCATCCGTATTTCCCCCGTAAGTGTGCTTAAAAACAAGCAGAAGCTTTTACCAAGCCTGTGGTGGTGGTGGCTAGGCGGCATCAGGCCCATTCCAACTCGTAGCACACCTGTCAGTGCACAACAGAATAAAACCCTGCTCAGGCCTGTCCCGTCCTCGCAGTTGCTGATGTGCTTGAGTTAGTCGTTGCAGCCACTGTGTCGGGCCATCCCGTAGGGCATCCTCCTCTCTTTGCTGCCCCTCTTTTTCCAGGGATTGGTCTCTTCTGGTAACGTGCCGAAAGTACATGAGACGAAGTCTCGCCATCCTCCCTCCTGGCAGTTCTTCCAGGACCTGGATGCCTTTGCTTTCCGGTCGTCCGTAGTCCTTCACCAGCCTTCGTTCCAGTGCATCGGTCGCCCTCAGTCTTCCTTCTTCAGTAGCCGCTTTCTGATGCACAGGAGGCAAGGCCCGGCCACTCGGCCTTTCAATAGCTGCTGCTGTGTGGCGCCATCGAGCAGATTCCAACCCACAGCGATCGGTCCGTGAACAGCAGAAAACGCCATCCTCACAGTTGGAGCGGATGGTTCCTTTACTCGATGTCGTTTGTGTTAATTCCCAGGCAATGTTTTAAAAATCTTACTACGCTTTGGGGGTTTCAAGATCCATTGAAAACAAATGGAAAGTCTCAGAGAATTGAGCCCTTGGTGAGTGAAATTTTAAGTGGCTGCAAGTCACCAAATGTAGAGGCAGGCAGTGCAACTGGAGCATGGCTGTGTGTTCATCACTGACAGCAAAGTCAGGGCCACCGCTCTGGGAAAAAACAAGATCTTGTCTGATATTCCTTATCCACTCACTCAATTTAACTTGCTGTCTAACACAGCTCTGCCATGCTACGAGATTTGTCTCGTTAACGTGATGAATTTGAAACCAAACATGATGAAGTTAGAAGCCCACGTTTCCCATTGTTATGTAGCCGGCTGTGGTGAAGTTTCTCTGACAGTCAGTCTTTATTTAGGAGTGTGTAGTTTCTGAGTGATTTACAGCTGTTAATTACCTAACGCAGACAGCAGTAAGTGTCCTGATTTTTATAGGTGAAGAAACGAGCTGAGCCATTAAGGTAGGCCTGGGGTTCAATCTCACGGCCTCTGACATCTCTGTTACTTAATTTGCCAGACCCCACAGCTTCCCCTTCTTAAAAAAGGACGATCCACATTCTATGCATATTTAACATTTTCTGACAGTCGATCAAAAAGGGATTGCCTTTCTACTAGTGTTTGGGATACACATTTTTGGTTTGCTCACAAAGGAACCATTAAGTGAGTTTGTGCCAGTTCTTTCGTTTCCCCCAGAGTCCTGTCATCCTGTCATAATGAAAATTAATTAACAGTAGGACACAGACCAGAAATGGCTTGTCCAGCGTTGTTTAAAAGTGTTTTAAAACAATCTGTTGAATATCATCTGCCTGGAATTACTCATCTAAATCACGTGTCTTTCTACACACACACACACACACACACACACAGTAAAAGTGCAATCAATCGCCTTCATTTTACTTTGATTTTTTTTCTCTCTTAACTGTGCATTTACCTTTTACCATGACAGCTTAATAGCACTCATTTCTCATTAGTCACAGTTTTATGTGTACAGTGTTTTCTTTGCTCCATCCTGGGGATAAAAAGATAGAGATTCACTATGGTCACTTAGCGGCTGTTAAAATTATTTTATGATGATGATTACCCTGATTATGGACCATTTATATGACACTTCACATTTATAAAGTACTGTCTAACAATTTTGATTAGTTATTTTTATGCATTTAAATGGAGTTGAAGTATTTTTCAGCACATGGCTGAGGGGGCCACTTTTCAGTAATTAAAACAATCATTTGTGTTGAGCGCTTGACTTCTCTTGAAGTCAGTTCTTTAAGTGTGTAGTGGAGCTGATGTGGAAGAGGGAGCGAAGGATAAAACATCTGAGATGAATGCAATATTGTTTTAGGTGCATATGTAAAAATAATTCCAGGCTCTCACAAACCACTGCCGGTCAGCAAGGCCATTGACGATGACGGGGCGTTGCGTGTTCTTTAGTATGCGGCAGTGCTTTCTCTCATGCTAATATTCTGCCTTAGTTGATCCTGTTATTATAAGCATGATCCTCATCATGTTCATTGCTTTTCATTTTCAGACCTCTAGCAGTACAACACAATGAACTGTATTTGATCCCATTACAAGGTCCCATTACACACGTTGTACTTGCAGTCTCACGATTGCAGTAACTTTTCCAGTCACTTGTTTGTTTGTTTGTTAGTTCACACTACAGGACAAACACGGTTTGGGACTGGAGAGCATCCTGTGTGTTCTACTTGGTCCCACAGCTCTTTAATCACATGTACATCTTTGCATTGCTTTTGTTGACCTCTACTTTCTGAGAATCCTTATTTCCCCTGGGCATGTCTATGCACGCGTAGCTTTATTGTGCTTTCTCAGT